TCGTATCCGGTAAATATAGAATGTACTTGGTATGTTATGGCTAGTGAGGGTAATAGTATTGGTTTGACATTCGAATCAATGGATCTGGAAGATTCAGATAATTGTAACAATGATTATGTGGAAATTAGAGATGGTAGTAATTTTAGACGTTTATTGGGTTTACATTGTGGCAAACAAATTCCGGCGGCGGTGGAAAAAGCTCAGACGTTGACGGTAACATTTAGTAGTAACGATGATATAGTGGGAGAAGGTTTCATAGCCACGTATTATTACGGTAAGAAAAAATTAATAAAATTGTGATAACAATTATTTATTCCATAAATCTGGTATTCCCTGTAGTTAAACATAACGAGATAAATGGCACTAGTGGAGTGGTCGAATCGCCTGCCTACCCAGCCAAGTTCCATAGCGACGACTTATATAGCTGGCGTATTACTGTGGATAAAAACTATGTTGTTTTGCTGTCTATTAAACATATTGTGGATACAGATATACCATATATTAAAGTAAGTTTCGAGAACTAATAAATCAGACAGCGTGGTTAATTTGTCTTAATTTTTATAGTTCTATGATGGTTATTCCGATATTGGAGCACCAATAGATTATGCCAATACCCATATTGTACGCTCAAATACCAATATTTTATATTTCACCGCCACACGTGGTCCATTCCAATTCGAATGGGAGCAATTATCCAAAGAAGTGGTGCGTAACAATCAGACTGCTGAACGAATGTCTGAACTTTGTGGCAATCAAAATTTGCGTATCAACTCCTCCACCCTATTCTTTAGTTCACCTGGTTATCCGCATGGTTATGACTCAAATTTACAATGTTCATGGACTATTATATCCAACGATCCCGCTATGCATACCGAAATATTCTTTTTAAAAGTTGATCTAGAGGAATTCGATGAATGCTTTGCCGACTATGTTAAAGTTTCCAAGAGTACTGATCTGCAAAACTGGCAACAGTTAGAGAAAATGTGCAAAAAGACTTCCGATAAAATAATGAGGTACCAAGGAAATCCCTATTTGAAAGTAGAATTTGTAACCGATGCTGGGGTCAATAAGACCGGATTTTCTTCTCTCATATCAACTAAATGTGGTTCGGAACTAACGGAGAGAAGAGGCTTTGTTAATATAACCGAATTAAAGGGCAATGGCGTTAGTTTTCAACAGGATTGTATTTGGACCATTAGAGTCAGACAGGGTAGACGTATACGTCTAACATTTCCCGATTTTTGGTTACGTACCCCCAATACGGATGGCAATTGTAAAACATACTTTTTAGTACGCAATGGCATTGCCGAGGATTCACCATTTTTAGGCAAAGGAAAGTACTGTGACAATGATATAACTGACATTCTGGAAACCTCCTCAAATCGGGCTTATATTAAATTTTCACGCAGCGGTTATCCGGCATTCAGAGCTTCCTTCCATTATGAAGAAATAAGTCCAGAATGTTCCAAAGAGATTGTTCTTAAGGACGACTTTAAATGGGATCGTATACAAACCATTACAACTCCCAACTATCCCAATATACCCAATCCACATTCGGAATGTATTTGGAAAATTATAGCTCCCTTACATAAGACCATAACTTTGGACTTCTTTGGTGATTACGATTTGATACCCGTCAATTCGGACTCTAAACTATGTGAACTGGAATATGTTCAGGTTAACGATGGCGGCACAGAAATGGCGCCAGTTATAGGCAAATATTGTGGTACCACTAAACCAAATAGCATACGCTCAACGGGCAACATATTGAGAGTGCTTTATTTCACGGATGTTTCAGAACCTCATAAGGGCTTTAAGGCCAATGTTAGTATCAGTCGTTGTGGGGGTTCTTATTATGACTCGGAAGGCGTCATAACTGCTCCTTTGTTGCAACTCAAACCCAATGAAAAGGAATTGGAATGTATATATACACTAGAAATGCCTTTGGGTTCTACTATTAATATAAGCGTAGATAGAATAAATTTCCCCGAACCCTATGGAGGTCCAAACTCGGACTGTAAACAGGAAACCCATTTGGAACTGCAGGAAATTGATGCTTTCTCCACGGACACAGAAAATATAACCGATACCTTGCTCTTGTGTGGTTCAACTCCCAATCGCTATATTGTAGAAACCAATAAACTAAGAATAGTTTTGCGTATCAAAGATGGCGTTTATAATACCGACAGTTTTCAGATCAGCTACTCGGCTATAGGAGATAGATGTGGCGAAACAATAGTGGGAATGCGTGGAATATTACAAACTCCCAATTATCCTAAAGGTACAGGTGCACCTATACACTGTACATGGCATTTAAAAGCTCCCAAGGGTAGACGTATTAAGGTAGAATTCCTGGACTTTGATATGGACAGCGGACAAACGGCGGGACGAGTCTATCGCCGTTTAACGTTCAGTAACGATCCTAAACTATCATCCATCATCGAACGTGTAACAGATACAGTACCAGCTGTCATTTACTCCACCGATAATACCATGACTATAGATGCTCTCATGTTGTCGTTCTACAAGAATCGTGGTTTCAAATTGAAATTCTCAGCCGATGAGTATTCTACCCATTGTCGCAATTTCCTCTGGTTCAATGATGAAAGCATAATGGCTACTCCACAGACCTTGAGATTCCGAAGGGATGATAGTGAAAAATCAATGTATTGTTCCTACGATCTTAAACCCCGATTCAATCGCACCCTGTCCGTACAAATTGTAAAAGTAGAAAACTACAATATAACACAGCAATGGTTCGTATATGGCTGCCAATACTCTTCGGCTGTACAATTATATGCCGCAGAAGAGCGCATCTTACCCATGCTAATGTGTCATAATGAAACCCAACCCTCATTTAGACTACCCTATCCCAGTAAAATGGTTATAAATGGTCATAGACGTAATGGTCTACGTGCCCTAGAACTGCAGTTGACCTCTTATAAATGCGGTGGAGTGTGGCCTATGAGGTTTTACGATGATTTTGTAATTACCCAGCCGGATATGCAAAATCATACGGGTCATTTAGAATGTGCCTGGGCTGTATGGGGCCATTATAGTTACAATCAAGATGAACCACCTGCATTTTCAGATATTATGGAAGGTATACAAGTAGATGTAGGTCTGACCACTGACTTTAAGGGTAAATGTGAAGAGGAATACTTGATGGTGTACAATGGACCCAATCAGAACTCACCGCATTTAGGACGTTATTGTGAGCAATCTACCATTACTAATTTGGTAGCCACTGGTGGTATATATGTAGAGTTCATAACCCAAAACTATAATGCACTATCTGTGTTTAACTTAACGGTTCATGAGGGCAGTGGTTGTGGTGGTGTTCTAAAGTATCCCTACCGGCAAATCCTGTTCGATTATCAATATAAAAACAATGTTGAATGTATATGGGAATTAGCCACAGAACCTGGTTTCCATTTGGCCGTTACTTTTGAAAATACATTCTTTATTGAAGCGTCAACTAACTGCACCAAGGATTATTTAAAAATCCAACAGAAATCATTACAGGGAGAATGGGAAGATATTGCCAAATTATGTGGACGTGAACCACCGCAAGCTGTTAATACAACAACCGAAGAAATGCGTATAATTTTCCGTTCCGATGAAGATGGTGTGGGTAGTGGTTTTAATATGAAATTTGAGCGTAATTGTGGTGGTATACTTTATGCCACGGATACCATGCAACAATTAAAATCACCCAATTATCCATCCGAGTATCCGGCAAATCTAGTGTGTAACTACACCATTGTACCATCGCCCACGATAAGTAAAACAGAATCGGATAGTTTGTACTTACGCTTTATAGAGTTTACAGTAGAAGACTCTCCCCTGCAGACCTGTATATTTGATAATGTCACCATTAATACGCTCGACAATCAAATCAGGTGGTGTCCAATACCTTGTGTGGCAGAAAAACAAATTACGAGATTAGATCCAAAAAAACTATAACAATTATCTTTAAGACCGATGGCAGTTATGGTCGTAAAGGTTTTCTCATGGAATATGGCCATAATAAATGTGGAGCCGTCATTACCAATTCGACGATAATAGAGTCACCCAAAGATTCTTCCACCCAAATGTATCCGCATAACAGTATATGCTCTTGGCAATTGCAAGCTCCAGAAAATTACAAAATTATCATTAAATTTGAATATATTGACTTTGAGTCTCAGGGTATGTGTACCTATGATGCTGTGGAAGTATACAAGGGTCTTAATACCGTAGAGGATCAACGTTTGGTTCAATTGTGTGGCAACATAACGGAGCAGAAAGAAATAATTAATATAGCACAGAATACCGCTCTAATACGTTCCTTTGCCGATGATCGCGATGCCTCTAAAGGTTTTAAGGCCTTAGTGAAATTTGTACCCAATTGTGATAATCGCATACACTTGGAGTCTTCTAATTCCTCTTATGAATTTACCCGTTTCTCTGGACAATATGCCAATAACTTGGATTGTTCTTGGTTATTTACCACCTCTCCCGATCGCCAGCTTAGATTGGAGTTTAGCAGTTTCCATGTGGAAAATTCCTCTAATTGTTTAGATGACTATTTGGATGTACGAGACGGTTCAGGTTTATTTGCCGATCAAATTGGCCAATTTTGTGGTCACGATTTGCCCAGTCCCTTAGTTTCTTCCAAATCTACTCTACTAATGAGATTTGTAACTGATGCAAAGGAAACTAGCAGTGGTTTTGTGGCCACCATTAGATCGGTGCCCAAGATATGTGGTCGTCAGAACTTGGATTTGACAACACAAAAGGTAGGAGATTTTTGTTATTTTTTATGTTTGAAAGTTGTAAATATAAATATTGTTTCCTTTTGCAGTCGGTTACCCTACTTTCACCTGATGATGGTTCTGGAAAATATCCCAATAACATCAATTGTATTTGGAAAATAAAAAGTGACAATAACATTCATTTACATTTTGAGAAACTTGATATTGATGGCCCCGATGCGAATGGATCCTGTTCTACGGATTATATTAAAATTATTAATAGTGATGTAAGTTTTGTAAAATAGAGGGTGAGGGGATCTGAAATTAGTTAGTTAGTTAGTTTAGTTAGTTAGTTAGTTAGTTAGTTAGTTAGTAGTTAGTTAGTTAGTTAGTTAGTTAGTTAGTTAGTTAGTTAGTTAGTTAGTTAGTAGTTAGTTAGTTAGTTAGTTAGTTAGTTAGTTAGTTAGTTAGTTAGTTAGTTAGTTAGTTAGTTAGTTAGTTAGTTAGTTAGTCTTAGTCGTTAGTAGTTAGTTAGTTAGTGTTATGTTTAGTTAGTGTTAGTTAGTAGTTAGTAGTTAGTGTAGTTAGTAGTAGTTAGTTAGTTAGTATTAGTTAGTTAGTTCGTTAGTTAGTAGTTAGTAGTTAGTTAGTTCGTTCGTTAGTTAGTTAGTTAGTTGTAGTTAGTAGTTAGTTAGTTAGTAGTTAGTTAGTATAGTAGTTAGTTAGTTAGTCGTTAGTTAGTTAGTTAGTTGTTAGTGTTAGTTAGTTAGTAGTAGTTAGTTAGTAGTAGTTAGTTAGTTAGTTAGTTATTCGTAGTAGTTAGTTAGTTTAGTTGTTAGTAGTTAGTTAGTTAGTTGTTGCGTTAGTTAGTTTTAGTTAGTTAGTTATTTAGTTAGTATTAGTTAGTTAGTTAGTAGTTAGTTAGTTAGTTAGTTAGTAGTTAGTTAGTTAGTTTAGTTAGTAGTTAGTTAGTTAGTTAGTTAGTTAGTAGTTAGTAGTTAGTTAGTTAGTTAGTAGTTAGTTAGTTAGTTAGTTAGTTAGTTAGTTAGTAGTTAGTTAGTTAGTTAGTAGTTAGTTAGTAGTTAGTTAGTTAGTTAGTAGTTAGTTAGTTAGTTAGTTAGTTAGTTAGTTAGTTAGTTAGTTAGTTAGTTAGTTAGTTAGTTAGTTAGTTAGTAGTTAGTTAGTTAGTTAGTTAGTTAGTAGTTAGTTAGTTAGTTAGTTAGTTAGTTAGTTAGTTAGTTAGTAGTTAGTTAGTAGTTAGTTAGTTAGTTAGTTAGTTAGTTTAGTTAGTTAGTTAGTTAGTTAGTTAGTTAGTTAGTTAGTTAGTTAGTTAGTTAGTTAGTTAGTAGTTAGTTAGTTAGTAGTTAGTTAGTAGTTAGTTAGTTAGTTAGTTAGTTAGTTAGTTAGTTAGTTAGTTAGTTAGTAGTTAGTTAGTTAGTTAGTTAGTTAGTTAGTTAGTTAGTTAGTAGTAGTTTAGTTAGTTAGTTAGTTAGTTAGTTAGTTAGTTAGTTAGTTAGTTAGTTAGTTAGTAGTAGTAGTTAGTTAGTTAGTTAGTTAGTTAGTAGTTAGTTAGTTAGTTAGTTAGTTAGTTAGTAGTTAGTTAGTAGTAGTTAGTTAGTTAGTTAGTTAGTTAGTTAGTTAGTTAGTTAGTAGTTAGTTAGTAGTTAGTTAGTTAGTTAGTAGTTAGTTAGTTAGTTAGTTAGTTAGTTAGTTAGTTAGTTAGTTAGTTAGTTAGTTAGTTAGTTAGTAGTTAGTTAGTTAGTTAGTTAGTTAGTAGTTAGTTAGTTAGTTAGTTAGTAGTTAGTTAGTTAGTAGTTAGTTAGTTAGTTAGTTAGTTAGTTAGTTAGTTAGTAGTTAGTTAGTTAGTTAGTTAGTAGTTAGTTAGGGAGGGAGGGAGGGAGGGAGTGAGGGAGGAGGGAGGGAGGGAGGGAGGGAGGGAGGGGGAGGGAGTGAGGGAGGGAG